ACATTACCATTGAAATCTACCTGACGACTTTATATCCATGCTCAGATGCCAAGGAACTCAGAAAGTAAAATCAGATATATAGAGATTAGAAATGCATGTGCAAACATCTTAATGTCAACTGCATTAAAAATTAATTTTTCTGTTAAAAAAAACAAAAAACATACCTCCCCCCATTCATCAAAGAAACTTCTTTTTGCAACATATGGAGATTACTACAGAGTTCCACAATGGTCAAACTCAGAGAATAAGTGGCTGTGAGATGCTTAGCCCTAAGTGACACATCTGCAATGCAACCTCTATACCTAAGGTTCAGGAACAGGGGGCAGAGAGAATGTAACATATCTCTCAACTCTCACTAGCGAAACTTCCCCGGGCGACAGATGGTGATTAACTCAGAAGGTCACAACTGTCCAAAATGTAACTAAGAGACTGCAGATCTTGTGTCCTTTGATAGGACTCATACATCAAACCTTTAAAGTCAGGGATGGTGGATATAACTATAAAGAAATAGAGTTTTCTTGGTGGCTGGGAACTTCCTCATATGAACTTACAGCAATGCATGTACAAGACCCATACAAACTCAAACAAGACAAAAACCCAGCATAGAAGTGGGGAAATGGATAAGAAGTCCCAACCTTAGCTGATGAACTGTTGCCTGGGTGAGGGAGAGTTGGTCTTCTTCAAGGGAGTGACACTAGATAGGTTAAACAGGCCACAATGGATGGACTCGTACCAAGGGACATCTGGGGATACAAACGTCTCTGTAGGTCTTAACATATATGTCAGAATGCATGAAATTCTGTAGGTAGGATATGGGAAGGTTGCAGATTGGGAGGGGTCTAAATATGATCAAGATGTATTATATGAGATGTACAAAAATTCAATAATTTTTCTAAGTACAATGTCTAAGCAAGAGTAATATGAGTAAGCAACCCAATGACTGAAGAAAGGGCAAGAGCTCAGGAAAAGTGTGAACGAAGAGAGATGGCTTGGGGTGTAAAAGCACTTGCTGATCAAATGTGACCATGACTACCCAGGAGACCCATCCTTGTGAAACCCGCCACTGGAAAAAACATGTTGATGGCTATATATTGAGAAAGGGGCAGATTATAAATGAACTCAGTTAAGAAGGAATCCAGTGGTGGGATAAATAAAGAGGAAAATGGTATGAGGTTGTATTCATTGAGTGTTTACAATGCCAAAGGAAATAATGAAAGACAAAACATATTTCTCCCTGTACCAGTGTGTGAATCAATCACTTGCATTGTCTCTTTCCTGTAATATTGGGAAGCCAGTGCCTGTTACGAGCATGTCTGAAGTTTTTGTCTTCCTAAGACGCTCTAAAGAAAAAGCCTGAGCTTTTAGATTCCTGGGTCCAGAGAGGAGGCTTGCTTGTAAAATGGCTCTGGCTTGTGTTTTAGATTGTTATACAGGATAAAAGCATAAATGACAGCTGGGGAGGTGGCTCAGTGGGGGAAAGCACTTGTGCCAGCATGAGGACCTGGGTGTGAATCCCCAGAAGCTGTGTACAAGCCAGAGACATTGTGGAGATGGGAGAATTCCCAGAAGCTCACAGTCTGGCTAGACACATCTAAACAAACATGAACGTAAATATAAATGCCTGGAAGATATCCCAGTAGGTGTACTATATTCATTAAACAGTATACTTGTAATGCATTCTGGGGATCTTGCATGGAGTCTCTTTGTATTCTTTTATCCTTGATACACTTACAGGTATTGGCTCCAGTTGCCTGACCCAGCCCTGGCCTAAGGAGGCAGGGGGTTTCTCTTGTTCCCACTGTACCTGTTGGTTCCCTGAGTCAGGCAGGCCCTGGGTCTGCCTCCTGACAGTAGCCAAGTCTGTCATCTCTCCATTGACCATACCTGTGTGCTGGGTGAGGCCATGGTGGGAAAAACTGCCTCCACCCCTAGTATAGCCTTTATCAGGAGAAAAATGTACCTTATTTAGTCTTTG